CTGCTTACAATGTGGCTTTAAAAAGGAGGCCATTAGTAATGGTACTATGCTAAAATCTTATGAGACTACCTGGGTCAGTTGCTCTCAACCTTTTTAGACTCGGCACCCCTCAGAAAATGCCCAGCTACTTAGCTTTCACTCATATTTTTTTTTTTTACTATAAAAAAAATAATACAGCAACTTTACTGTTGCAAAGAACTCAGAAAGGCCACGAGAGAGCAGTGTTTTTAACACTGGGTTTCTATTTTAAATCTCTGGATTTATCTTGGGGGTCCTGTTTGCACACCTAACAGTGCTAACATTGCATGGCACTGTGACTCATCCTTAAAAGGACACCCTGGTTGAGAATCACTAATCTAGGGGATGGTGAGGTTTTATGGTATTTCTGCTCCACTGGAAGAGACGTTCCAAATTTCTCTAATCTATACTGTTACCTTTATTTTATTTTTCATAACTTGTTTTTATGAATAAAAACATTCCTTAGAATCACTTCAGAAGTTTGAAAACAAGGTGGGTTGAGAGCAGATTTATGTTTAGCAGAACCCTACTGAGAGTCTCTTTAAAATGCAGTCTTGGATCCCATGAAGAAAAACTTTATTTAGTACTAGTACTTTTGGGGGTCTGTCTTGTTTCCACGTGCTACATGAAGGTTTGGGGGAGGGAGGTGTTCCCCAATAAGATACTAGTTAATTGAACATAAAACATTAGTAGCTGGAATAACCATGGGGCTGTTACAGTATAGAAGCTACACAGAATATAGAGCAATTGTGCTATTACTTCAAACAGCAGGAACTTCTTGATAGAAGCTCACACATACTCCATGCATTAAATACTTAGCTGTCGCATGTAATGGTTTTGTTTAGTTTTGGGTTCACAGGGGAGCAGTGGACAGACTGAGCCGAGTCTTCTCTGCTGTTGAGGTTCACAGGTTTTATGCTTTCTTTCCTTCCTTCTATGCAGATAGTGTTTGCACACAGCCCAGATCTAGGAATGGAAAGCGACCTAGATTGTGTGCCATGAACTGAAAAAGCTTATTTTCCTTAAAAAAGAAACCTAAGAGAAGCTTATTAAAAAAATAATGGTGTTGACTCTCTCTTGACTGTACACTGCCACTAGTTTTCTCAAAACAACCTAAAACTGGCAGGTTCAGTCTTGCCCTGCCCCTAGTTCTGGCCATAGTCGCATCTCTCCTCTGTTTGCTTCAAAAATCAAATTGCTATGCATTTCAAGTCCAGGGTGTTTTCATTTGAGTATGTAACGAAAGCAGCAGCAGAAGGCTTTCAGTCTGACTGAGAGGAGGTTGCAGCTGTTCTGAAATGTGGAATGTAACCTGGAAGGAGGTGAAGGTATGGCCAAGCCAGGCAGTGAGGTGGGGATAAGAAACAACTCGCTTTGGTCTGTCCTGGGAAATGGCTAATGCTAGTTGACAAAAGGAAAAAGTGGGTTGCTTTACCATGTGAAACACTATGCATCTCTATGGCTTGTTTAAAAAGGGGTCTTGCCCTTTACGCTCAGTGTGTGGCAGGTGTGCACTTTGAATAAACTGAAAAGAGCAACTAATACATTTCTGAGGCAGGGCTGATTATTCAGCATTAGCTAACAAGCGTTTTCCATCACCCTGGGGGTGATGCATAACTTCCATGCAGGGCTCTGACGTTATGAAGGTATTTCCTTCATTCAGCTTTGTTCTAATACATTTACTGTTTTGGCTGGCAGGTACTCAAGGAGTTGCACCACCACCTGCTCCCGTGGTTGGATTACAGACCCCCTCTACTGGACTCCTTGGGGCACGGCCTGGTTTAATACCACTCCAGCGACCTCCTGGAATACCACCACCACCTCTGCAACGCTTTCCCTTGATGCCACCACGGCATATGCCTCCCCATATGTTACACAGAGGTCCACCCCCTGGGCCAGGGGGCTTTGGCATGCCTCCCCCTCATGGAATGAAAAACCCGTTTCCACCACCTGGCCCCTTTGTTAGGCCGGGCGGAGGGATGTCAGGAAGTGGAGGATCAGGTGGACCTGAGGATAATAGAGATGGAAGGCAGTTTAGGAATGATAGGCAGACATTCGGTTCTAATAGAGACCAGGAAAGGTATGGAAGGAGGTCTTTTGGAAATCGGGTAGAAAATGATCGTGAGCGCTATGGTAACCGCAATGATGACAGGGATCATGAGCGACTTGGTAATCGTGAAAGGAGAGAATGGGGAAGAAGAAGCCCTGAACGCGATAGACACAGAGACTTAGAAGACAGAAATCGACGGTCCAGTGGACACCGAGACAGAGAGAGAGATTCTAGAGATAGGGAATCTCGTAGAGACAAGGAAGAAAATCGAGGAAAGGAGAAACCTGAGCTGACAGACAGGGCAGATGGTGACAACAACCATGAATCTCACAGTGGCAAAGTGGAAAATGCAGACATTGTTTCAGAACTTACTACAGGAGCGTCTGAACCCACAGGTGTAAAACCTAATGAAGTGTTAACATCTGAGGCTACCTCATCTGTTGAACAAGCTGCAAAGGATATTGGCTCAGTTGTAGAGGCTCCTCGTTAGAGACTGGAATTTGTCAAAACATGACAGTGACATTTATTGGAGTGTAGAGCTTTAGAGTTGTACATTATGCTGTATTATATTTGCTTCTGCTATATCACAGCCCCTCAGTAGTTGGTGGGAAATTGTAAGCAATTTGATTGCTTCCCTTCTATTTAAAATAGCCACAACATAACACAAAGATACTGAAGATATGAATAAAATATTACCCATTTTTGCTGTAACTTTTTTAAAGTTTTGACTTTAAAAAGTTTACAAATCAGAAGTAGAAGTGCTTTCTATTATTTTTTTTTAATTTAAGAAAAGGTAACGGTGAAAGCTCCTCAAAACAATAGGGATGTGTTTTTAATAAACTCTATTTTCGTAACAAACTTTAACGTGTGCTATTCTTCCTACACTGCACTGAAGTGGAAAAGGATTGTTCAACATCTTAAAGTTTGAACTGTTAATGCTGTACTGGAGTCTAAATTAGACTGTTTTGTTTATATTTGTTAAAAGAAATACATCTGTTTGTGTAGCTATTCACAGAAGCAAATTTTTATTTGTAACATGTTATTTTGATTTTAGATTGCTGCATTTTAATGATCTACTTGACCATACTAGGTAAAGTTAGTGGTTTTAAAACGTTGTTTGAAGAGGTAATTGTTTAGTGTTTGCATTGCAATCAAGGTTTTACTTTTTCCTCCAATTGGTTCTGTGGTAAATGTTGCCCTAATTAACCTTTTAAAAAAATGGATGAAAGTGGACACCCTCAGACATATTTTGTCTGCTCTGCTTGTAATGTTATAAGATTATTGTGTGTGATGGGCTGGGGAAGCACACCAGTTCAGCATCTTTTGTACTTGTAATTCATTGATGCTTTTTGGAAAGTGGGTTGGGAAAAAAAATCAAAGACACCAAATCACCAATTTTAAAATGCTAACCTATTTTTTTTAAGTGGGGATGAGAAGAGGGGAATATTAAAAGGATTTTAAAATGCTGCCTGTTCCTTCACAAAAATCTAGCTAGTTACTGCTGTCTGTTATATTGTCTACCTCCTGTACTTTCAACAAGAGGTAGGTTAAAACTTCTTATCCACATGGTGGTGTATTTGTCAGACTATTGGGGAAAAAAACTGCATTTTCTTGTATTCATGTAAGTTTAACCATACTCTCCATCTGACTTAAACTATTTTGTCAAATAAACTATACAAGAGCAAGTACTAGTTCAGTTAGCCCTTCAGGTGCAAACAATTTGGAGATGGCCACAGTAAATTGAACCAAACTGTAAAACCCAGACAAATTCTGTATATGGAAGTGCTCTTCATGATTAACCTGCATAAGAAAATAAGGCTTATGTTGGACAACAGTTTCAGTTTATGCTTATTATATTCTAAAATACAGTGGGAAAAATTCTATGAATCTTGTGCATATTTAAACATGTTTTTCCTTGAGATAGCTATGCTTTACATTTTAAAAGTTTTCTTTTTCTTACTATGTGAAGGGCAGCTGCTTTCTTACATCAGTACTTTTTTCATAGCTGCTCTGCAGCAGGGGTATTTTTTGGAGGGGAGCGGGGAATAATAGGGGAGTTATGGCTGCGGGGAAAGGACATATATTTTTATGTTCTCACAATAGCAGAATAAAGAGAGAAAAAAAACCTGTTTACATACTTGTAGTGAACTCAACTTCCGTGTTAAAAAACTTGTGTCCTTGATGTTTGTTTCATGCTGGGCCAGCAGAGCTAACTTTTTAATAGAGAACCAGCTGTATTTATGTCTAGGTTTAAAACTGTCTTAGCAAGTACAGCCATAATTCTGTGAGGAGGTAGATTTTTTTTTTGAATGAATGAATACATTTTATTAAAAAATTTGAAGACAAGAATGAAGGAGATGGAGGGCTTATGTATTTTGGTTTGCATAAATTCCACCTTACATTCTTACCAGCTCTGCTTAGGTAGGATATTGCAAATATCCAAAAAACCACTAGCATTTTTTCTTTACATTCTGCTTTCATCCCTATTTTTACTGCTGCTTTGGCAAAGCTCTGACTCAGCACTAAGATGTATTATCTTTTAAATATCACATGCAATTGCCATTTGCTTTTTTACATACCAGCAACATTATGTAGAATAGTGTCTCCTGAAAGTAGACAACTTTTACTTTTTTGGCTTGCTCCTTAAAATCCATAATTAGTACACCCTGAACACAAATTTCTGTCAGGTGAATAAAGCCCTTTTTATAGGGCTTTGAAGTTTCCCTTAAACTGGAGGCAATTAATTGATGTTGATCAGTATTGTTTTGGAATGAAGCATTTCTATAGGAACATAAAGAACTGACAGTTTAATACTGTTCTCCACAGTGATTGAGATTTCAGTTGAATCAAAGTTTTTAGATTTATCAGACATTTAATATAATAAAGTTGTCTAATTTCAAAGCAGGCACCTATGCACTTGCATAAAAGCAAAATTTTAATTAGACTAATTGGGGCAGTGGAATGGTACTGGTGGATGCTGGTACTTAAGTAATCTTTAGCTGTAGTTGGTCTGTACTTAAGGCTATGGCTTGTGCTTCCTGTTTGGGGAGGAGAACCAAAACTTCAGTGATTTTTAGAAGAGGCAACTATCCTTCAGATTTTTAAACTCAAGTAAGTTTTACTCTATAAAATGCATTTTGAGAGGATTGGTAGGAGGATAAGATGGTGTATTTTCATGCACATTTTACTGATGTTTAACATTGCTTCTGATGTTCAGAATCCATTCACTCTAAAGACAGGTTAATCCACTGACTGGCACAGGTGCATGGAAATTGGATAGGTATTCTTGGCCACATACAACAATGAATGTCTTTCACTTTCTTGCTAGAGCAACATCATTTCATTACATTGAAATTTAAAGTGTATATGTAAAGGAATGCCAAGATTCAAATCTACTAAAGCTAATTTTCTTCTCCCAAGGAGACTTAAACCTCTGATTCTGTATAGCAGGAAT